TCGCAGGGAGATCGCGCCTCGCTCAGCTCGAAGTGGCTGCGGCTGTGCCGCGTCTCTGCGCGGTCGGCCATGGCGCTCGCGATGCGGGCGGCGGAGCACGTTCCGAGCCTGCGCCGTGCAGTGCGCCGGCATGAGAGGGTGTGGCACAGCGAGGGCGGGAGCACCGCGTGAGTACAGCGGAGAAGAGGACGCGGTGAGACGGCTCCGTCTGCCGTGAGTACAGCGGAGAAGAGGACGCGGTGACGGCTCCGTCTGCCCGCTTCTTGCCCGCTTCTAGGGCCGCCGCTCATATGCACGCTCACGCCAACCACGGCCGCATGGCTCAGCACGGCCTCGACGACGACGTGGTTCCCAGCGTAGCTCGCCTCGGAGAGCGCCGTCGCGCCCTACGAAGTGCCAGCCGAGATGCCAGCCGAGATGCCGCCGAGATGCCGCCGAGATGCCGCCGAGGTGCCGCCGAGATGCCGCCGAGATCCTAGCCCCCGCGTGCAGCGGCCTGGGAGAGGCGTCTCTCGGCCGTCTCGCGGCTGGTGTTCGCGGCTGTCTCGCGGCCGTCTCTCGGCTGGATCTCGGCCGTATCTCGTCTACCTCGGGCGGCTGGATAGACGCGAGCGGAATGCCGCTCTCTTCGTAGATCTGCTTGACGTCGGACGGCGCGCCTACCGCACCACCCACGGGACCTGAACCCACACTGGCCTCGGCACTCTGGAGGTGGTGAGGCTAGATCTGCTTGACGTCGGACGGGGCCTCCCAGCGGCGCCATGCTGTAGGGCGAGGAGAAGCCACACTGGATCCGGCACTCTGGAGGTATGGGACTAGAGCGCGCCTCCCAGCGGCGCCATGCTATAGGGCGAGGAGAAGCCACACTGGATTCGGCACTCTGGAGGTATGGGACTAGAGCGCGCCTCCCAGCGGCGCCATGCTGTAGGGCGAGGAGAAGCCCGACCGAGGCGCCGCGGAGAGCAGAAGCCTCGCAACCTCGCCGTAGTCGGAGGCGCGGCGCGTGGCAGAGCCGAGACAGACGCTCCTGAGAGAGAGAGAGAGAGAGAGAGAGAGAGAGAGAGAGAGGGGGGGGGGGGGGGGGAAGGGTGGGCCGGCCGTGGGAGGGGGGTCTGGGGAAAGAAGCCTGTCTGTCTGTCTGTCTGTCTGTCTTGGCCCCCTTGTCTTGGCCCCCTGGGGGAGGGTGAACAAAGGGAAAAGAAGGGGTGAAGGGGTGTGGGCCAAAAGGGGAGGGGGGCAGGGAGGGAAATCCCAGGGAGATCCCAGGGAGATCCCCCCCCCCTCAGCTCGAAATGGCTGCGGTTGTGCCGCGTTTTTGCGCGGTCGGCCATGGGGCTCCCAATGCGGGCGGGGAAACACGTGCCGAGCCTGCCCCGTGAAATGCCCCGGCGTAAAAGGGTGTGGCACAACAAAAGGGGGAGCCCCCCGTGAGTACCGCGAAAAAAAGGACCCGGGGACGGTTCCGTTTGCCCGTTTTTTGCCCGTTTTTAGGGCCCCCGCTCACATTTGCACGCTCACGCCAACCACGGCCG